ATGCTGGTCGACAGGAAGAACGCCCGAAAATTCTACCAGAGGGTTAGGCGACTTACGGAAGGTTTCAAGACCGGGGCGAACTCCTGTAAGAACAACAATGGCGACCTAGTGACCGATGTCCAGAATATACTTAAATTGTGGAGGGAACACTTTTATAACCTACTGAATGGTAGCAGCGCTGAAAGTAGTGAGGAAGACGAACCCGAGTCCCCAGTCGATGATGATGGAGTAGCTGTCCCACCGCCTGACTATGACGAGGTACGAATAGCGATTACGCGGCTGAAAAACAACAAAGCTGCTGCTGCGAGCGGCGGCGAGGAGCAGCTATTCAAGTACGGCGGCGAGGAGCTGATGAGGTGCATGCATCAGCTCGTATGCAGAATATGGTCAGATGAACGCATGCCCGACGACTGGAATTTAAGTGTGCTCTGCCCAATCCACAAGAAAGGCGACCCCGCCATACGCGCCAACTACCGCGGAATTAGCCTTCTAAGCATAGGTTACAAGGTCTTATCGAGCGTATTGTGCGAAAGACTGAAGCCCACCGTCAACGAGCTGATTGGACCTTATCAGTGTGGCTTTAGGCCTGGAAAATCCACCATAGATCAGGTATTCACAATACGCCAAATCTTGGAAAAGACCCGCGAGAATAGGATCGACACACACCATCTATTTGTCGATTTCAAAGCCGCTTTCGACAGCACGAAGAGAAGTTGCCTTTATGCCGCGATGTCTGAATTTGGTATCCCCGCGAAACTAATACGGCTGTGTAAAATGACGTTGAGCAATACCACCAGCTCCGTCAGAATAGGGAAGGACCTCTCCGAGCCGTTTGATACCAAACGAGGTTTCAGACAAGGGGACTCCCTTTCGTGGGATTTCTTTAATCTGATGTTGGAGAATATGGTCAGATACTCTTTACAAGAGCGTACAACTGCTGGCGTATGCCGACGACATCGATATTATCGGTAAAAACAAGGGCAACGTCTGTTCTGCCTTCTCGGGATTAGATAGAGAAGCAAAACGAGTGGGTCTGGTGGTGAACGAGGACAAAACGAAGTATCTCCTGTCATCACACAAACAATCAGAGCATACGCTTCAGCGGCTCCGCTGGCTTGGCCATGTCGTTCGAATGGACAGGAACGCTCCTGCTCTGAGAATATTCAACGCAGGCCGCGATGCTGGTAACAGAGGAAGGGGAAGGCT